AGCAAACTGCGTTTATTGATGGATCGATGATCTATGGAAACATAGACAGCTTAGCTGAGAGCTTACGCACGGGGCAGAGAGGTATGTACACCAACCCTTTCCCTACACATACACCCCCACCGTACAACTATGTACCATTCCCCCACAATAAACGACAGAAGCGTTTCTAGCAGGGTACGCATAGAATAGGGCGGTATGTGTGTATCCGTCCTCACTCATCCATACATCCTCACCACACACCCATGTATTACCACAGTAAAACTAGCTAGCAAGCTACGCGTGGGGTAGGGCGGTATGTATGTATGTATATGTATGTGTGTGTGTGTGTGTGTGTGTGTGTGTGTGTGTGTGTGTGTGTGTGTGTGTGTGTGTGTGTGTGTATGTATGTATGTATGTATGTCTGCCCTCATCCATCTGTACATACCCGCCATACACCACCATGTCACAGAATAGCCTAACTAGCATGCACGTGGGATCAAAGTATGTATGTATGTATGTATGTATGTACATATTTTCCCCTCGCACATCCATAAATCCTCACCACACTCCCATGTAATACACACCTCACTATGTAATAAGGACAGTTTAGCTCATAATACAGCACTAGGGAGGGAAGTATTCGTACACACGCATCACCGCCCTGGCTATCCACACTTTCCCCATCACACCGCGTGCATGCGCGCGTGTATGCATGCGTGCGTGTACAGATATCAATGCCTAACGCTACCATTGTACCGGTTTCTCACGCAGGCCTATTAAAGTACACAGATCACCCTGGCGGCAACAATCTGAAGTATCTGCTGCCGCAGGACACGACGAATGGAGACTGCCAGCGCACCTCAGAGAGTGACAACTGCTTCGTTGCAGGTGCTGCTCCTTAGCTAACGAGAACAGTTGACCTTCTTCGCTATTTTAGGTCGATTATTGCGAATATAGCATAACTATAATTTATTGAAATCTAATCTATCATTGATCAAGATTACTTATAAGGTAAGGTACTCACTGCCATTGTCCGCTTATCTTTAACCATTACTGACTATAGACATTAGACACGCTGACATCCTGCCCACAATATCGCTGTATGCATCCATGTCAGGTGTGACGTCATGCGGCACCAGAAGAATGCTGCTGACGAAGCTTGCGTCATCTGTTACGTCACGCAGGGTTTATATTCTAGTTCATAGCAGATGTTAGGTAGTGGATTGTTATTAAGAGATCATCATCGCTGTTGTTCTTTTTTAGGTGATGCTAGGTGAAATAAATATGTTGTTGGGTTGTAGGCGATCCTAGGAGTAATGAATGTGACAGTGATGTGGTTGGGTTGTAGGTGATGCTAGGAGTAATGAATGCTACAGTGATGTTGGTGGGTTGTAGGTGATGCTAGGAGTAATGAATGCTACAGTGATGTGGTTGGGTTGTAGGTGATGCTAGGAGTAATGAATGTGACAGTGATGTGGTTGGGTTGTAGGTGATGCTAGGAGTAATGAATGTGACAGTGATGTGGTTGGGTTGTAGGTGATGCTAGGAGTAATGAATGTGACAGTGATGTGGTTGGGTTGTATGTGATGCTAGGAGTAATGAATGTGACAGTGATGTTGGTGGGTTGTAGGCGATGCTAGGAGTAATGAATGTGACAGTGATGTTGGTGGGTTGTAGGCGATGCTAGGAGTA